TACTACCATAACTCCCAACCCTCATCACTCGCGTCCATCATCCAAAGCAAGTGTTAAGAGCCATCATTCCCGTAGCACCCGTAGTATGTACAGTACCCACAGTCAAAGAATTTGCTACAATTGTGGTTACCGTGGCCATATTGCTATTAATTGTCATGATAGTAACCCTAAGAAGCATCGTACTGATGTGATCCCAGTCAGATCTTCCCTCGTACAATCAAGAATTCATGGACATGAACATCGAGTGAAAATGCTCTTACAACCTGCGTACTCTGTCTTTCCGGGCCTTTCCCAACCGCAGACCCAGGGGAGGAAAACGACATCGTGGTTTTCACAAATAACCAAAACCCAGGCTCAATCCCCCAATTCGGGGAACCCCGAGCACCCGTCTACTCGTCCATTTGTGACAGAGTGGGTGATAACGAGTTACACCATCCAGTTAAAAATTCCTATGAACCCTTAGCCCCCTCGAGAAGACAACCCTCTTGTGTTGCCACACGTCTATGACAGGGGAAATTTGGGGATAAAGGAAAATGCCTTCTCCGTGACAACCCATTTCTGTTTGCATATAAAACTCCTACAAAACGATTGGTCCTTAAATACAAGCTTTGTCCATATGCGCCCGTTCATGTGTTCAGGACTCTGGTGTACAATTAATATCATCGGTCTATTTTTTAAAAGAGAAGCAGTTACGATGTGTTCCTCGTTAAAACCAAACTACAAAACCCCCCTAGTGGAGTGGTGGTTCCCTTCTCGGCGAGGTTAGATTTCGCTCCCCTTTATATAAAGGGCAAGACTTTACTGCTGCTTTTCTTTTTGTCGCAGATTATTTTCCCCTGGGACCTTTTCGGGATTTTTCCATGCGAGACTTACGCATTGTGCCGCCCGTACCGATGGATGCCCAAATTGACGACTTATGTTCCTTCTGGGGTTATCGTTGGATCAGAAATCTGTCAAACGCGCAGAGTTGATGTGGTTTAAAGCCCTTAACCCAATGCTTTTCTCCGTGCGTACCCAAGGGTCAGGCACGGAAAAAACTGTCACCCCCATTGTTTTTCCCCCTACATTTCAGACGCAAGTGTGCCCCGTTGCCTCAAGTGCCCAGGGACACTCAGATCCTTTAGTGCACAGCCTATCCCCGCAATGACTGCTGTTCGGGAGTAGTTTCTCCACAGGGATGCCTTGTCAGAAAAAAGATTACTTGAAATGTAATGCCTCTCTTGTTTATGTCCCCACCGTTGCGAAAAACGTTCTGTTGCGGCTAGTGCTCTCATAAGTGTTTTTGTTGTTCTAATGGTTTCCGATGGGATAACGTCCCAGTTGACAGTGACTCCTGCAAGGTCAAGGGTTTTTTTTTGAAAATTCCTTTCCGTTGTAAAAACGTAAGATCCATTTATTCCCTTGCTAACATTCGGGCACAGGTTCGTCCAGGCAAATACCAACCTCGTTTCTAGCTCACTACCTTACCCTGTTCAAGTACAGGAAAGGTCACCCCACCAGTGGGCAGTGCTATTTCAAAGTGGGACCTCATCACTCCGCGGGTAATCCTTCCCCATTGAGGAGAAAAACTTAGCTCCCACCCACTTTCCCCGACGAAGTCAACGTTTTTTGACTTTTTGAAAAAAAACATCTAACGCCATTTCCCTTTCCAGGTGAGAAGATGGGTTTTAACAACTTTTTGTCCCATGTATTCCCCGAACTGGACTAGGACCATTTTATACCTGGTACAGAATGCCCCATTCCCAAGTTGCTGTCGCAGAAGAACTGATCAATCAAATGCTTAATGATGGAGTTATTGCACGTAGTAATTCACCCTGGAATGCGCTCTTGATCCTAGTGCCTAAGAAGGATGGCACTTGGCGCCCGGTGATTGGCTTTAGGAAGTTAAATGCGAAAACTATTCCAGATCGCTTCCCACTTCCTGTACTAGGTGACCTTTTACGCAATATCGGAGATAAAGTCTTTTCGACCCTGGACTTGTTACAAGGGTTTTGGCAAGTCCCTCTTCATGAGGACAGCCAAGAGTTAACTGCATTCTCTACTCCCACAGGTCATTATCACTTCCTACGAATGGCTTTTGGATTACGATCGTCTCCTATCACGTTCTCAAGACTCATGACCAACATCTTTAGAGGTCTTATAGGTAAAGCACTTATGGTGTACTTAGACGACGTAATCGTCATGTCCGAAGATGTGGATACACACCTGAAAAGACTTGATATAGTACTTGGCAAGCTTGAAGAAGCCAATTTAAAGATCAAACTGTCCAAATGTCAATTTTTCAGATCAGAAATTAAGTTTCTGGGTCACGTAGTCACTCCTAGAGGGGTTACGACTGATCAAAGTAAAGTAACTGCAGTACTAAATTTTCCAACTCCCAAAACTGCTGATGCTGTAAGATCCTTTGTGGGTCTAGCAGGTTTCTACAGATCTTTCATTGTAAATTTTTCTTCAATAGCAGCTCCGCTAACTGAATTGCTTAAGAAAGATGCTCCTTTCGTTTGGACCTTCCGTCAAGAAAGAGCATTCCAAACTCTAAAAAAAGAAAAAGCTAACATCTGCTCCAATTTTGAAATTCCCAGATTTTTTCTAAGCCCTTCTATCTGACAACTGATGCTAGTTCAATTGGCATAGGTGCTGTACTAGCTCAGAAGACTGATGGCAAGTACAATGCAGTTGCATTTGCTAGCCGAGTCCTTACGAAAGCTGAACGTAATTATACAGTAATGGAGCAAGAAGCTTTTGCAATAGTATGGTATTTAAAGCACTTCCAAGACATTATTTACCAGTACCCTGTTCATGTCTTGACAGACCATGCACCACTGATACCTTTATTCCAGAACAAACAACCTACTGGAAGGTTAGCCAGATGGACCTTGATTATCCAAGAGTTTAATCCCACTTTTGAACATTTACCTGGCAAGTCAAATGTAGTCGCAGATGCTTTATCGCGACACGTTAGTGTAGTTACTGCAGATCCTCCATTTACTGTCGAGGATGTCAAAAATGCCCAAAGAACAGATCCCATGTGGTCTGGTGTGATTCGATTCCTGCTCCAGGAAGATCTTATTCTTACTGTGAAGCCACCAGCACCCATTAGTGACTTTGTAATGAGCCAAGAATTACTGTATCGAACAGCCGAGTTGGGTACTCCAAGCAGAAGAGTGTACCAGTTAGTAATTCCACAGTCACTAGTGAACATAGCTCTACAGCTAGTTCATGATGCACCAGGTGTTGCACACCCTGGTATGGATCGTTCTGTGAAACAAGCCAGAATGAAATACTTTTGGCCACGTATGGCAACTGACATTTCAGAGTATGTTAAGAAATGTATGGAATAGGTTGTAAGTTACTAAATGCTGTAAAAAAATTTTATGAGGATAGTGAGGCTCAGGTTAGGGTGTGTAAAAGAGAGGGAGAATACTTCCCGGTAAAAGTAGGTCTTAGGGTTGTAAAAGAAGTAAATGCTAGGGTGTTGGGGAAAGGAGTGGGATTAAATTATGGGAGACTAAAGAAAAGTTGCAAAGGTTAGTTGACGAGTTTGGGAGTGTGTGTAAAGGTAGAAAGTTGAAAGTAAACATAGATAAGAGTAAGGTGATAAGGGTATCAAACGATTTAGATAAAGAAAAATTGGATATCACATTGGAGAGGAGTATGGAAGAGGTGAATGCTTTCAAATATTTGGGGGTTGATGTATCAGTGGATGGATTTATTAACGATGAGGTTAACCATAGAATTGATGAAAGGAAAATTGTAGGAGGTGCATTGAGGTATCTGTGGAGACAAAAAACATTATCTATGGAGGCAAAGAAGGGAATGTATGAAAGTATAGTGGTACCAACACTCTTAAATGGGTGTGAAGCTTGGGTTGTAAATGCTGCAGCGAGGAGGCGGCTGGAGGCAGTGGAGATGTCCTGTCTAAGTGCATGTGTGGTGTAAATATTATGCAGAAAATTCGGGGTGTGGAAATTAGGAGAAGGTGTGGAGTTTGGCCATTTAGAAAGAATGGATCAAAGTAGAATGACTTGGAGAGCATATAAATCTGTATGGGAAGGAAGTAGAGTCGTCCTTGAAAAGGTTGGAGGGAGGGGGTAAAGGTCTTGTGGGTGAGGGGCTTGGACTTCCAGCAAGCGTGCATGAGCGTGTTAGATACGAGTGAATGTAGACAAATGGTTTTTGAGACGTGACGAGCTGCTGGAGTGTGAGCAGGGTAATATAGTGAAGGGATTCAGGAAAACCGGTTATTTTTTTAGTCGGACTTGAGTCCTGGAAATGGGAAGTACAATGCCTGCACTTTAAATATATAAGGAGGGGTCTGGGATATTGACAGTTTGGAGGGACTTTATGGAAACTAACAAATCAAATTTCTTATGAAAAATAATGTAATGTTTCTGAACTGTTATATCTGAGCGCCTCTGCGAAGACACTTATTATGTGTAAGTGAGGTGAAGTGTTGAATGATGAAAGTATTTTCTTTTTGGGGATTTTCTTTCTTTTTGGGTCACCCTGCCTCGGTGGGAGATGGCAGACTTGTTGAGAGAAACATATATGCGCGGAGAAATAGGGTCGATAAGGTGTATGAAATTATTTAACTTTATGGGTAAAAAAAATGGTGGAAATAATTTGTTCTCTTATTCTACAGAACCGAGAACTTAACATTTTCAGTTGTCTTTCATGATCTTAAACGACATCATAGTTACAGCCCTTAGACAGGACAGTTGTTTACATCTTGCTTCAAGTATCGAGTTGTATACTTTGAGAGAAATAAATAGGCCTTTATTTTTGCTTTTTGGTTCATATTTGTCAACGAAGATTTTGACAAAGTTACTTGAATATAAACATACTGTGAAAAACTGTTTAGAAAGTATTAATTACATCAGTGCAATGTTTCTGTCAGCATTTTTTTTTTTTTTCACTACTGGCAATCATCGAGAGAAACTTCAGAAAAAAATTGATAAGAGCTTATAAAGTAACAGCCATGAAAAGCCTTGGCCACTCACCATCCAAGGCCAAGCGTTTATCTTTGATGTAAATCCACCGACCACTGCAACCTTATTATCGAACCTTCTGTATCGAGCGTGATGGTCTTCGTTGAGCTTCGGTTTATGTATCACGTCAGAGACAGATCTTGATAAACTGTCGAAGGGAACATGAATGATCCTGGGATTACTCAACCCACACTCTGAAAGACAAAGTTGCTTGTTGTTCGTGCCGAATAGGTAAAACTGGTAAATTAGCAATAACAAATTTAAAATTAAATCCTATCTAAAATTTTCTCTTATACGTTTAAAGAGATTTTTTCATTGATGTTAAAGTGAAAATGAATAATTTTGTACCAAAAGAACCTTAGAAAACTTACCAAATCTTATTATAAAAAGCGCAAATAAATTTAGCCTAATCCAACTATATTTTATATAAGTTTACAGTAATTTAATAACAAACCAACACAATGAAATATATTTTTTTAGATAGATTCAGAATGTTTTGCGAAATTATTGCATACACAAATTTTTGCTTGCCCTATTTGGAAAAAATTGTATAATTATATATATTTTTTAACACACTGGTCGATTCCAACCAAGGCAGGGTGGCCTGAAAAAGAAAAACTTTCACCATCATTCACTCCATCACTGTCTTGCCAGAGGTGTGTTTTACACTACAGTTCATAAAACTGCAACATTAACACCCGTCGTTCAGAGTGCAGACACTGTACTGTAGACAGCAACCACCCAGGGAAGTAGTACCATCCTGCCACATGACAAACAGAAACCTGTAACTGTAAACATTTACTAAAAAAGAAGAAAAACATATATATATATATATATATATATATATATATATATTATTACCATATCGGCCGTTTCCCACCAACCACGTCCACTCCTAAATATCTGAATACATTCACCTCCTCCATACTCTCTCTCCAATCTGATATCCAATCTTTCGTCACCTAATATTTTTTACACTGCTCATCACCTTACTCTTTCCTATATTCAATTTTTATTTTCTTCATTTAATTTCCCTACGAAACTCATCCACCAGCCTCTAGAACTTCTCTTTAGAATCTCCCAAAAGTACAGTGTCATCAGCAAAGAGCTACTCTAACAACTCCCACTTTGTGTTAGATTCTTTGTCTTTTAACCCCAGACCTCTTGCCAACACCTGCGTGTTCATTTCTCTTTCAACCCCTTCTATAAATATATTGAACATCCACAGTGACATCACACATCCTTGTCTAAGGCCTCCTTTTACTGGGAAATCTATCTCCTACATATTCTAACCTGAGCCTCACTATCCTGGTAAAAACTCTTCACTGCTTTCAGTAAACTACCTCCTATACCATACACTTGCAATATTATTATTATAATAATCAAGGAGGAAGCGCTAAACCCAGAGAACCATACAGCGCCTGGGGGGGGGATGTGGAAGGCATTCAGGCTTAATTCGGGGAACTGGAGCACAGATCCAATTCCCTAAATCAAGAGCCCCTCACCAACATCAAGGAACCTTCCTTGAGGGGCATACACTTGCAACATTTGCCACATTGCCCCCCTATCCACCCTGTCATATGCCTTTTCCATATCCATAAATGCATGGGTTCGGCTCCTTGGCTAGTGCAGTGTTATTGATCAATACCATTCGTTTCGTGGGTACAAAAATATAATGTTTGTTGAGCTAGTACACAAACAGGAAGTAGAATGAAATTAGTTCAGAGTCGTCCACACCACCGTATGTCCTTCGATGGTGGGTACAACATCTAGCTTGGCTGGTTGCACCATTGTTAAGGATTGTGTGGTCTAGTGGTTTTACGACTTTGAAGTCGTAACTTAAATAAAATATTCCTGGATCCTAAAGGCTGCTTACACTGTTGTATAGGGGTTATAAAATTATTCTGAAAACACAGCAAACATTGGGCCAGCATGTACTCATATTAAACAATATTAATTATTATTAGGAAGGAAGGACAAAAACTCACCTATATATATATATATATATATATAATATATATATATATATATATATATATATATATATATATATATATATATATATATATATATATATATATATATATATATTAAATAATATTGTTAATAACTTATATACAACTTATAACTACTACAAAAAACCACCACACTCCAGTTCATATTAGCTCACTAGCACACTGCTGCTAATGAGTTAAACAAAATAAATCATCAGGGAGGCACCATGACATACACACCCCCGTCTTCACTTCTGTCTGGTAGACTAATTACCAGCAGGCAAAACACCATACAGTACTCTCGCATAAACAGGCCTCTGCATACTAGGGCCTTACAAATAAACATGAGAGCACTTAAACACCAACACCTATATTATACACTAGAAAAATATTACCAAAATTACCTACTCAAACTACCGCCCAAACATGACGACTTTACCTCCGTCACCACCCGTCTGGTACTGAACTAAAAACACTTCATCTGCCCCTTTCCTGGCCACTGCCTGACTGACAGGAATAAAACGCGTTCACTTCCAGTTCAATCCCGGAACTATGTTACACGGAAAATGACACATATGGAGCGTTATTTTATATAAATATTTTTTCACAGTACTCCCTAACAAATAGTCTAAAGCGTCATGTGTTTTCTCTCACCATGAGGCGGGCCAAAACAGCATGGGTTCGACTCCTTGGCTAGTGCAGTGTTTTTATTGATCAATACCACTCGTTTCGTGTCCTCGGATCACGAGAAAAACACGTAGCTCAGTTGCATGCGTGATTCTTGTAGGATCGCTGGCTCAAGTGGTAAGGCGTTGTGTACATTGTGCTGTCTCTGGAGGCGGTATAAGGTTCGTAGGGCCGAGTCCTGGCCTGCCGCAGTTTGGTAAATGATGTATATATATATATATATATATTTTTTTTTTTCTTTTTTAAATTATATAGGGAAGTACCACCTCTATAGCTGGAATGGGGACCCTCATCCTCAGAGAAGACAATAAACGTACCTCAGGAAAAACTCAAGGTTCTCCCCGGAGCTGTTTGAATATTTTCTTCTACCACCCCCTATATATTTTATATTCTATATGAACATTAATAAACAGAATACATTTACAGAATACATTTACAAACATGAATACAATGGCACAATGTATCAAAGATCATGAATTTCCTCCAGCTCCTCCGAGGCTGGATGAGAGCCAAGTATGCAGCAAGTATTTCCCCTCTGGATGGCTATGCTGAGGCGCTGGAACATGAAAGTGGCTGCCCTTGGGTCCTTGGTGGTGTCGATGAGTCTGGAACCCAATTCTTTAAGGAAACGCGAGGCATTTTTTCCCCATGATCCCAATGTCCCTGATCCCACTGGGACAAATTGATACTGTTGGCTAATATCCCTGTACTTGCTGATCTTGTACTCCTCCCTGTGGTCAGTAGCTCCTCCCTGTCGCCCCACACTGTGATGGATATAGGTGTCAGCCAGTGTGGACACACAGGTATAGTCCCATGCTAAGAGCTTGCCATTCTTCCAAGGATAGATGGTGATCCCGTCGGGGCGGTTTGCTGGGTTGTGGGTATTGTTGGCTGCTAGTGATCGGGGCTCCCTCTCGGCTGGGCATCCAGCTTGCACTTCGCCGCAAATACACGTATATTCTGTGTGAATTGGGGCAGCAAGGCGCAGAGCCACTGCAATACGGAGGGTCTTAGGGTCGAGTCGCATTCCCATTGCAGATATGGGAACTGTTTGGAGGAAGTCCCCGGAGTGAGGTGCGCTCACAGCCTGGAGATGGACAATCTCCCTATCTGATGTTGCAGCCCTGAGCATGTTGACAAACACCTTTTCAGCAATCGGGCCATCCCAGCTTGACTGTTTATGAGCCAGTGCTGCACTAGGGTTTGGTGCTGGAGCCGCAAGAGTCTCCCATTCGGTGATGGCACTGGCATAGCTAGGGTCTTCTATTCCTGCTGAGTCACTGAGGGTATCGGGAAGAATTTGTCTTATCAACTCGTTTGATGCTATGGAAAAGGATAGGAAAGCTGGTAGAGCAATCTGTGAGGATCTGCGTACTCCTAGCCCTCCAAGCCTGACCGGAAGTGAGGCTTGCAACCACTGTCCATCGTCAAGGGAAAGATTCAATACACTCTAGCATGGTCTTCAGGAGAGAGTCATATTCCTTGAGTTTTGGACTGCTGAAGGCTGGGGAGCATCTCAAAAAGTAGTAAGTTTTGGGATTGACAGGCACCTGGTGAGTAGGTAGAAGGCATCATGTGTGTCAGTGTCTTTCATCCTGCTTTCCATCGTCCGGAGGTCTGAGACCTTTTTTTCTAGGATCAGATCGATGGCATTGGACCCAAGAGGAGCACCAAGGAGAGTGCTATTGGCTGGGTCAATGGCTAGTACTACTGGTAAAATGGCGCTGATATTCTGGATCATCTGTTGATTGGTAGAAACTATTTCACATCTGGTGGGGTTTAAAGAAAGGCCCAGGCTTTCTCCCATGTCTTTAATTTTACTGATGTCCTCTAGGAGAGATTCTGTTGTGCCAGCTAGGGTACCGTCATCCAGGAACCAGACATTGAGCTCGCTGGAGAGTGCTTCTGTGACTTCCATGATGACCAAACAGAATAGAAAGGGGGCGAGAGGGTCCCCCTGTTGCACGCCCTCACACGAGTCAATTTAAAGGTCCCCAAACAATAGTTTGGGAGTAACACTAACACGATTCTACGAAGGGATGAAGGGAGGGAAATTTCTATAAACTGCTTGGAGAACAGCATCCCTTCTGACTGAATTGAAAGCATTGGCAAAGTCCAATTTGACCAAGGCTTTTTCATCGGACATGTTTTTGATATATACTCGTGCTGCGTGGGCAGCTGCTTCACAGCCCTGTTGAACGCCGAAACCGAGCCGAGTTGCCTTCAGCATTCCAGCAGCCTCTTGACTCACCCTTCTTACTGCAGCCTTGGTGACTAAAGGAGTCTGATGGCCTCTGGAACACTGCCAGCCAGGCACAGGTTGGAAAATTTGGCGAGTTCAGACAGCAGCCTCTGTGAAACCTCACCAAGTGCTGGATTGAGTATTTGTTTTAAGTGTTGAGGCCTTAAACCGGTGAAACCTCCTGCTGAGCCATGTGGAAATGACATAGCAGCTTTATACACATCAGCATCCTGTAAGGTTAGATGTTCTTCGCCTGCTGCAATGTCAGGGAGGTCAGTGTTGGTACTGGGAGCCCTGGGTGGATGTTTGTCCTTCAGAGCTTGCACGGTGCTGACGTCCTTGGGAGCGATGGTATCCTCACTGGTTATAAGCCTCTGAGCTCCAATAATATTACCCTCTATTTTTTTTGCTAATTTGGGCTCTAATTTTTGATGCATCGGGTGTCCGAGACGGACGAGGTTGTCATCCCTTGGAAATGCATTTATTGCCCTAATAACATGTGTTGCTAGTGACTTGTCCCTCCTTGGTGGGACAGCCAAACAGGTATTGCCAAAAAGCAGCAAGTTGTGCCAGGATCTGTTGTTTGAAGGAGTATCGTTGACCTTCAGAAGGTCAGTGAATTTGCTAGCAACTTGAGGGCGAGCTGCTTTGGGGATGTGTGTCAGAGTCTGGTGGATGTTAATTTGATTGCAGATTTGAGGTCCTCTGTAGAGGTGAAGTCAGGGTAGTTGTCAGTGCTGTCTGCTGGGAGGGGCTGTTGATTGTTCTCATTTGGAGCTCTCCTGGAGCCTAGACATCCATTGTGTGCACCGATGCTGCCACTTGAGGGATTGAGTGCACAATCCATGTAGCACACCCGGCAGATGCCTCGTGAACGACGGCTTTGGCTCTGTCGTGAAGATTCCTGGGAACTCGCGACTACTTGTGACATTGCTGATATCGTGGGGGTGGGAGGGCGCCAGCTGTGGGGTAACGGGTGAAGGACAGCATGGAATCATGGGGGATGAGGGTGGGGGAGTAGCGAGCGGCGGAACTTGTAATCAGTGGGACACTAAACGGCAACAACCTTGGTCAGGAAGTCAGTGGGCCTACGCTGGGATGAGGGGAGGGGATCAGGGATGGGGGGCGGAGGGAGTGGCTCTGTGTTCGCTCAAGATGCACATCACTAACTTTTGCTAATTGTTATACAGTTATTGTTCCAATTAGAAAAAGCCCTCGCCATTTGGCAGACTAAACAATATATATATATATATATATATATATATATAATTTTAACAAGTCGGCCGCCTCCCACCGTCGCAGGGTGACCCAAAAAGAAAAAATCCTCCAAAAGAAAATACTTTCATCATTCAACACTTTCACCTCACTCACACATAATCACTGTTTTTGCAGAGGTGCTCAGAGTACAACAGTTTAGAACCATATACAGATAAAGATGCACAACATATCCCTCCAAACTGCCAATGTCCCAAACCCTTCCTTTAAAGTGCAGGCATTGTACTTCCCATTTCCAGGACTCAAGTCTGGCTATATTAAAATAACCAGTTTCCCAGAATCCCTTCACTAAATATCCTGCTCACACTCCAACAGCTGGTCAGATCCCAAATACCATTCATCTCCATTCACTCCTATCTAACGCGCTCACGCATGCTTGCTGGAAGTCTAAGCCCCTCGCCCACAAAACCTCCGTTACCCCCTCCCTCCAACATTTTCGAGGACGACCTCTACCCCGCCTTCCTTCCCTTACAGATTTATATGCTCTCCATGTCATTCTACTTTGATTCATTCTCTCTAAATGGCCAAACCACCTCAACCCTCTTCAGCCCTCTAATACTTTCATTAACTCCACACCTTCTCCTAATTTCCATACTCAAAATTTTCAGCATAATATTTACATCACACATTGCCCTTAGACATGACATCTCCACTGCCTCCAGCCACCTCCTCGCTGCTGCATTTACAACCCAAGCTTCACACCCATATAAGTGTGTTGGTACTACTATACTTTCATACATTCTCTTCTTTGCCTCCATAGATAACGTTTCTCGTCTCCACATATACCTGAACGCACCACTCGCCTTTTTTCTTCATCAATTCTATGATTAACCTCATCCTTCTTAAATCCATCTGCTGGCACGTCAGCTCTCTAATTATCTAAAAACATTCACTTCTTCCATACTCCTCCTCCCCAATTTGACATCCAATTTTTCTTTATCTAAATCATTTGATACCCTCATCACCTTACTCTTTTCTATGTTCACTTTCAACTTTCTACCTTTACACAAACTCCCAAACTTGTCCACTAACCTTTGCAATTTTTCTTTAGAATCTTCCATAACCACAGTATCATCAGCAAAAAGTAACTGTCAATTTCCATTTTGTATTTGATTTCCCATAATTTAATCCCACCTCTCTCCCGAACACCCTAGCATTTACTTCTTTTACAACCCATCTATAAATATATTAAACAACCATAGTGACATTACACATCCCTGTCTAAAACCTACTTTTACCGGGAAGTAATCTCCCTCTGTTCTGCACACTAACCTGAGCCTCACTATCCTCATAAAAACTCTTTACAGCATTTAGAAATTTACAACGTATTCCATATACTTGCAACCTCTGCCACATTGCTCCTCTATCCACTATCATATGCCTTTTCTAAATTCATAAATGCAATAAAAACTTCCCTACCTTGATCTAAATACTGTTCACATATATGCTTCAATGAAAAACACTTGATCTACACATCCCCTACCCACTCTAAAACCTCCTTGCTCATCTGCGATCCTAAATTCTGTCTTGCCTCTAATTCTTTCAGTAATAACCATACCGTACACTTATTCTCGCTATCTACCCAATACCTCCATTTCCCCATCTACTAACTCCCCTACTCTGTTTTTAATTGACAAATCCATTCGTTCCCTGTGCTTTCATAACTTGATTAACCCACTCAAAAAATTTTTCTTATTTTCATTAAAATTTCTTGACAGTGCCTCTCCCACTATCTGCTCTCCTTTTGTACTCTCACCACTCTCTTCACCTTTCTTCTACTCTCCATATACTTTACTCTTCTTGTAACACTTCTGCTTTGCAAAAACCTCTCATAAGCTACCATTTTCTCTTTTATCACACCGTCTACATCATTCCATCAATCACTCTTTGCTCCTGCACCCACCCTCCTATAACCACAAACTTCTGCCCCACATTCTAATATTGCATTTTTAAAACTATTCCTACCCTCTTCCACCCCCCTCCCCCACTACTCATACTTGCACCAACCCACCTTTCTGCCAATAGTTGCATATATCTCACCAGAACTTCCTTCTCCCTTAGTTTATACACTTTCACCTCCCTCTTACTTGCTGCCATTTTCCTCTTGTCCCATTTACCTCTTACTCTAACTGTAGCTACAACTAAATAATGATCTGATATATTGGTTGCCCCTCTATAAACGTGTACATCCTGGAGCCTACCCATTAACCTTTTATCCACCAATACATAATCTAACAAACTACTTTCATTATGTGTTATATCATACCTTGTATATTTATTTATCCTCTTTTTCATAAACATCTTTTACTTATTACCAAACCTCTTTCTACACATAGCTCAATTAACGGCTTCCCATTTTCATTTACCCCTGACACCCCAGACTTACCTACTACTCCCTCCACAACATTTTTACCAACTTCAGCACTGAAATCCCCAACCACAATTACTCTCACACTTGGTTCAAAACTCCCCACGCTTTCACTCAATATTTCCCAAAATCTCTCTCTCTCCTCTACACTTCTCTTCTCCAGGTGCATATACACTTACTATAACCCACTTTTCACATCCAACCTTTATTTTACTCCACATAATCCTTGAATTAATACATTCATAGGCTCTCTTTTCCTGCCTAGCTTATCCTTCAACATTATTGCTACTCCTTCTTTAGCTCTAACTCTGTTTGAAATCCCTGACCTAATCCCATTTATTCCTCTCCACTGAAACTCTCCCACCCCCTTCAGCTTTGTTTCACTTAAAGCCAGGACATCCAGCTTCTTCTCATTCATAACTTCCACAGTCATCTCTTTCTTATCATTCACACAACATACACCCACAGACATCCCACTTTGACAATTCTCCTCTTCTTATTCTTTTTAGTAATTATTACAGGGAAAGGGGTTACTAGTCCATTGTTCCCGGCATTTTAGTTGACTTTTACAACACTCATGGCTTACGGTGGAAAGGTTGTTATTCCACCTCCCCATGGATATAAAAGGAAAAATAATAAGAATAAGAACTATTAAGATAAATTCAAAGAAAATTAAGATTAGTGTGTATAACTAAACGTGTACTAGTATGTGTACTGTGACCTAAGTGTAAGTAGAAGTAGCAAGACGTACCTGCAATCTTGCATGTTTATGAGACAGACAAAAGACAACAGCAATCCTACAAGAATGTAAAACAATTCGTTTTAAACTCATTTGGTAGGACGGTAGTACCTCCCTGGGTGGTTGCTGTCTACCAACCTACTACCATATATATATATATATATATATATATATATATATATATATATATATATATATATATATATAACTATAGCTTGAATCTGAAAAAACTGACATCATTTAATTAAGCTAAAATACAGTTACATTATACTTTATCACATGATCTATTTCAGCTTGAGAAGACCATGTTAAATGCCGTAGTCAAAACGGTTCTTTGTTGAATAAGCAGTACAACTGTCCACAGTACATATTGTTAAATTATTAAGTTGAATAATTAATGGAAGAATATCAGAAAGTGTAATTGTTACTCACCGAAAGTAACGGTTGGAGAAGAAATATCCAGGATAGGATCAGATACCTTGTCAGTTGTCTTAGTCACACTCTCTGCAAAGACAACATTGCCCTATTCTTAATAATATTCACTATATTTATAATTTTGGTTGGCAGTAGCAATTATGATGTAATTCACTGTAATTTAAATTAAAAAAAATATATAATATTGCTCATATTTTTTTGTGTAATTCAAAATTAATGAAATCGGTTATGATAAAATCATCATTATATGTTTAGCACTGACGTATTTATAAAAAAAAATCCACGTAAACTGTTTACGTGAATTTTTTTTTAAAGTATTATAATTTTATAATTATATTTTTTTATAAATATAATTCTTCACATGTGATGAATGGTTTGAAAAACCGACAAGTTGAAGATTGAGACACTTATGCAGCATATGGGAATCTTTATTCAGGAAACGTTTCGCCACACAGTGGCTTCATCAGTCCAATACAAAGAGGAAGGCGTAAGGAGAGGAGGAGAATGAGGTAATCAGTCCCTCAACCTGGAGTCGATGTGTTCAGTCCATCAATCTTGATTGATGGACTGAACACATCGACTCCAGGTTGAGGGACTGATTACCTCATTCTCCTCCTCTCCTTACGCCTTCCTCTTTGTATTGGACTGATGAAGCCACTGTGTGGCGAAACGTTTCCTGAATAAAGATTCCCATATGCTGCATAAGTGTCTCAATCTTCAATTCTTCACATGAAAATTTATGCTTAGTTTAAGTTTTATTTAATTTTGGTTGTTGGAGTTCAGCATTCTTGTTAGTAAGTTTATTCAGGTACAAATAATAATAATAATAATAATAATAATAATAATAATAATAATAATAATAATAATATCTTTATTTACTACATCAGAGTTTGTGCAGTAAATCAGTTGCTGTCAAAAAGTTAACGAGGGAAGGTAAAGTAAGGGCAGTAGATTATTATTATTATCAAAAGGAAGCGCTAAACAGCAAGGGTTATACAGCGCAGCAGGGCAGGGAAGGGAAGGATGCAGGTGAAATGGGTGGCAAGAGGAAAAGGGATGATTATTAGCATATGGAGTACAGTGGGGCAGTGGATAGTGCAGGGGTAGAGGGTAGCAAGAGAATGAGGTAGAAAGGACGTAGGAGGGTGCTAGAGGCATCATCAGAGTTTATGAAGTAAATCAGTTGCTGTCAAAAAGTCAATGAGAGAGTGTAGATTACAGGAGTGTCCATCAACAAGTAGGGAAGGTAGAGAAAGGGCAGCAGAGTGGAGACAACGGAGGTGGTAAATTGACATTGGAAGTAAATTTTGCTTGCTAGTTGATAGTGTGGACAGTTCAACAGAATGTGGCTAACAGATACTGGAACTTGACAATTCTCACAGAGGAACAGAAAGCCTCTCCATGAGATACCTGTGAGCAAGACGAGTGTGGCCGATGTGAAGAGGAGAGATTAGTCCCCCAACCTCGACATTGATGACAAGATGATGGTCAGAAACTTATACTCAGTTTAATAGAATGAAGTTTGTTATGGAGCAGATCAGACCAACATTGTTGCCAACAGGTGCAAAGGTGGGTAGCAATTTCAGCAAAATAGTCTGTGAATGAAACATCTCTATATGAAACTCCATTGAAGACACTGCAAGGCTACAAGTGGATGTCAACCAAATCTTTAAATAGGCTGCACAAAACAATATGAAGTTCAACGATAAGAAATTTTAATTATGCCGATATGGATAATGAGAACCTTCAAAACCAGGGATGCCAAGCCCATGATGACACTCTTCAGGTCACTTGTTCTATCTACGCTGGCATATGGCTGCACACTAACAGCACCTTTCAAGGCAGGTGAAATTGCTGACCTAGAAAATGTACAAAGAACCTTCACGGCGTGCATAACGGAGATAAAACACTTCAATTACCGGGAATGCTTGAAGTTCTTAAACCTGTACTCCTGCAGGCGCGACAGATACATGATTATATACACCTGGAAAATTCTAGAGGGATCAGTAGCAAACTTGCAAACGAAAATCACTCACTACAAAAGCAAAAGACTCGGCAGACGATGCAACATCTCTCCAATGAAAGCACAGGTGTCACTAGCACGTTAAGAGACAACAAAATAAGTGTCAGGGGCCCAAGACTGTTCAACTGCCTCCCAGCATACATACCGATAGACCCCTGGCTGTCTTCAAGCAGGCACTGCACAGGCACCTAAAGTCGGTACCTGACCAGCCGGGCTGTGATGTGTATGTTGGAATGCGTGTGGCCATCAGTAACAGCCTGGTTTATCAAGCCCTGATCCACCATGAGGCCTGGCCACAGACCGAGCCACGGGGGCGTTGACCCCCGGAACTCCCCCTATGTAAACTCCAGGTAAACTCATGTACTGCTGACCGTGCAGCAGTGTCTGCCTGTTCATTGCCCTGTATGTCACCATGACCAGGGACCCAGCCAGAAACAATATATTTGTGTTTACTAGACATACGGCATAACCCAAGTTGCATACGAAGAACTAGGGGGTGAGGTGTATCAAATTTTTGTATAGGCTGTAAAGCACTAAGGGAGTCTGAAACGACCACAAATAGTAACACAGGCATAGATGCTATACGGATAAGTGCTACAAGAATGGCTTACAGTTCAGCCGTAAAAATGTTAGCCGAGGATAATAAATATCCTTGCCCAACACTGTCCAGAAACACTGCTGCAAATCTGACACCGTCAGAAGACTTAGAACTATCTGTGTACACTGCGATGACATGAGAATGAGAGCCGAAGTGGTCAAGAAAAAGAGCGGGAAGCCACTGTAGGTAGTGGGGTTTTTGCACATGTCAGTGGAAAAGAACAGACACGAACAGCTGGAACTTCCCAAGGGGGCAGGGAAAAGTGAGTTGTTACATGAACATAGAAAGATGGTAACTGAAGAGAAGACAAGAATGAATGGAGGCAGAGAGAAAAGGGGCAGAGTAAACAGGGGCGATGAACAGATAAAGAACGTTTACTAACTGATATAAGTATACAGAAGGGTAGTGGAGGTCATGAGATCGAACATATTATTGAAGGCAATGAGCATCACGGCGATCAGACAAGGATGGAATATTCGCTTCTGCATAGAGACTCAACAGGGGATGAACGAAAGGCACCAATGCACAGACCTTGGTGATGAATGGGATCTAACTTAGAATTGCAGGAGAGGCCACAGAATCGATTTGGTCACCATAATCCAGCTTGGACAAGACAAGGGTGGAATGCAAACGGAAGAGAGTGCGAAGATCTGCTCCCCATGAATGTGCGAAAACTTTGAGATTTAGCCGACCATGGCAAGTTGTCTTTAAAGAAGAAATGTGTGGTCTCCACGTCAGCCGGCTCTCAAAAAGCAGGCCCAGAATCTTGACCGTATCACTTGCCAGAATATGTGAACCGTGTAAGTACAAGGGAGTATCCGGAATAAGAGGATGTCTAGCAAAAGTATTATTATTATAATCAAAAAGAAGCACCAAGCCACAAGGGCTATACAACACTGAAGGGTAGGGAAGGAAGCGAGGGTATTGGGTGGCAGATGGGGAGAGAGATGATCAGTAGGTTACAGAAAAAAGCGGGGCAGGGGATAGTGTGGGGGTAGAGGGTAGCAAGAGATTGAAGTAGAAAGGGCTGAAGGTATCATCAGAGTTTGTGAAGCAAGTCAGTTGTTGTCAAAAAGTCAATGAGAGAGTCCAGATGAAAGGTGGGTCCATCAGCGAGAAGGGAAGGTAAAGAGAGAGCAGCGGAGCGAAGATGAAGGTAAATTCTGCGTGCTCGTTGATAAAGTGGGCAGTCTAACAGAAGTGGCTGACCGATAATGGAACATAATTCACACAAAGAGGAGCAGGGCGCCTCTCCATGAGATATCCATGAGTAAGACGAGTATGGCCAATGCGAAGATGGGAGAGAGTAGTCTCCCAACCTCGACAATGGTGACAAGAAGACGGCCAGTAACCTATACTCGGTTTAATAGATTGAAGTTTGTTACCAAGCAGAGTAGACCAACGTTGTTGTCAACGGGTGTGAAGGTGGGCAGCTATTGCAGCAAAATAGCCCATAAATGGAATACCTCTATATGAAACTGGTAGGTCATGTACTGCTGACCGTGCAGCAGTGTCTACCTGTTCACTGCCCTGTACATCAACATGACCAGGGACCCCAACAAAAAACAATATCTTCATGCTTGGTAAAGATGCGGCGTAGCCAAAGTTGGATACAGAGGACTAAGGGGTGAGGTGTATCAAATTTCTGTATAGCCTGTAAAGCACTAAGGGAGTCTGAGACAACCACAAATGACACAGGCATAGATGCAATACGGATAAGTGCTGCAAGAATGGCATACAATTCAGCAGAAAAAATACTAGCCGAAGATAATAAATACCCTAGTACGACGCTGTCCGGAAATTCTGCTGCAAATCCTATGCCATCAGAAGACTTAGAGCCATCTGTGTACACTGCAATGTCATGAGAATGAGAGTGGAAGTGGTCAAGAAAAAGAGCGGGAAGCTACGGTAGACAGCTGGGCTTTCGAGCAAGGGAGAGAGAAAGAACAGACTCGAACAGCTGGAACTTCCCAGGGGGGTAGGGAAAAGTGAGATGCTACATGAACATAGAAAGGTGGTAACTGAAGAGAAGACAAGAGTGAATGTAGGCAAAGAGAAGGGACGGAGCAAACAGGGGTGGCGAACAAATAAAGAATGTCTACTAATATTGGTGACCATTCTATAAATGGAACGATTGCGGAGATCACGAGAGCGTACATAGCAGCGAAGGATATGGGCATCACGGTGATCGGATAAGGATGGAACGTTTGCTTCTGCATAGACGCTCTCAACAGGGGAAGAGCAAAAAGCACCAAGGCATAAACGTAATCCTTGGTGATGAATGGGGTTAAGGCTAGAGAGAGTAGCAGGAAAGGCCGCTGAATAGATCTGGTCACCATAATCAAGTTTCGATAAAATGAGGGTGGAATGTAGGCAAAGGAGAGTTCGACGATCAGCTCCCCATGAAAGATGAGCAAGGGTTTTAAGAAGGTTCAGCCGGCTGTGACA